GAGGTGAATAAACACCTAATTTTAATTTTTTTTGGTACTAGATGTTTTTTATGTACACAGCAAGGTGTATTTTCATTCATTCATCCTTCATAGTCCTTCTGAGACTGCGTTATTCTCATTACGTACAGGCCATCCATCGTTATGTCAGTTCTTACAGCCTATTGGGCAGGTGATACAAATTTTTGGTCATTTGCATCATACGAGGGTGATATTGATGTAAATGTTGCATGTTTTACACTTCTACTTGATGTATATGCAGATGATTTCGTGATTCAGACTAACCACCATGGAGATCACTCTGACGGTTCCTTATGACATAATATGTCTGTTTCAATTGTTATTTATACTGTATGCTTGGTTATTAATCTTGAGTATAATGTTCTTCTGTCATAGGCATCCTCGGATAATATGTCATTATGTGTTATTTAGAGTGTTCATATTTCATAGGGGGCGGCGGGGTAGCCTAGTGGTTTAAGCGTTGGCTCGTCACGCCGAAGACCCGGGTTCGAATCCCCACATGGGCACAATGTGTTAAGCCCATTTCTGGTGTCCCCCGCCGTGATATTGCTGGAATAAAAGCGGCGTAAAACTAAACTCAGTCAGTCAGTCATATTTCATAATGGCAACCAACAGTAATGAAATTTTGTTATTGCTAGTGCTGGGAATTGGTCAAAATCTCATAATTGATGACTGGTTCATTACAACCGATCAATCATCGAAAATAATTGGTTAGCGTCATTTATGAAATTCTCCTGATTATTTTTGGTAATCGACAAAAAAAATAAAGAAAAAACCCTGTAGTTCTTTGGTGTTTTTGTAGTTCTTTGGTGTTTTTGCAAATTGCACAAAAGGCATTGGCAAATTTCACATCTTTAAAGGATGACTACTAGGTTAGGAACATTAATTTCTTGGAGTCTTGAAGATAAATTTCAACCATGACTTGGAACGAGCTTGTAGTGGTCATGAAATGTAACTGACAAAACCAACCTTGTGAAAAATATTGTTAATGCAAACAAGTGTTCGGGAATTGTTTGTGTTCGACTATGAGAAAACATGATCGATTGCTTGGTCGTCTAGTCACTGCGACCAATCTTCGATTATTTCAATTAATCGGACCATCACTAGTTATAGCATGTAGCCGAATGCAGAGGTGATAGAGGCACACAAATCCCTAATATCTAAACCTAAGCAAGAGATGGTGGAGTTTTTGGCAGAGCTGCAAGCAATGGCGGATGACGATGACAGTGGTGAGTAAATATTTAATGTTTCTGCAATTAAATACCTTTTCCAGTAGGGTCTTCCTTCGCTTGGAGAATGTTTTGGCATGGCTGTCCGGGTGAGATAAGTGATCAACTCGAACGGGCCCCACTGTGATGATTGGTGACTCTTCTGGGGGCCCTTTCTTCTCCAGCCTTTCTCCATGTCGCTTTTGTTGTTTTCTCCTATGGTTTAATTTTACATTACTTATTCCTTCATTATGATTATTATTGTTCAGTTTGTAAGCATTTCATCATTGACACCATCTTACAGTCTGTTTTTGTGTGATGATTACGTCATACTTCTTGTGTTCCGTGTCAAGGTATTTCTGTTGTGTACATCCATTAATTACCACTCGTCCCCCTTTCCATTCCACTACATGCAACATTATCATCTCAACATGTACACAGTGCACACATGTCACCGACAATTACGCCTCCGTTGACCTTTCATTGACGTAGCTCAATAACACCATTCGTGTCTTCACTGAGCTTCCATACTTTAAAGCAGCCGAACCGGTGTTGGAGTTGTTTCCCCCTCCGGAGGACAACTAGAGGGCGCTTGGGTCTCCTTCGCACCAACATTGAAAACGTGGTAAGTGACAAGTATATTTTTGCTAACATTCTGTCATAAAATGATTTCATTGACTTATTTTGAGGGCATAATGTGTATTCGTTCTGAAAGGGGTCCCTGCTTCGAGGGGGTAGCGCCCCAAATGCGGCGTCATTTGGACACACGTGTGTTATCGTGCAGTAGAGGGGGCTTCTTCCACAGTTAGGAACACTCACCGTGTATTAAGGACGAGATAGCGTAAAATGCGGTTTATTATGCGTTTTGTGGGCGGGTTTATTCTCCCGATCGGGGTGTTAGTTCCCGAACGGGTTCAAGTACCCGTTCGAGGGTTTGTACCGAACCTGGTCAAATGATCATGGCGAATATATCCGTTATACTGAGTGTATCAGCAAGTGTAACCAAAGAGGACTTACTAATATCGGCATACCAACGAAGACTGTGACGGCCTATAGTTGCGGTAATGTCAACAGGTGTATTGTTTCACTCTACCGGAAGTACGTAAGACTCAGACCAGCTAATGCTCCAGACGCATTCTACCGGAGACCTCTATCGAAGCCTCGTCAAGACCAGTGGTATGCATCCAGCCCAATTGGTCAGAACACCCTTGCGAAAACAGTAAGCCGACTTTGTGTTGCTGCAGGATTGAAAGGTTCGTACAAAGATTTACATAAAATAAAATAAAAACTGCAATAGTAGCCAATGTTTCGTCACATATTGTATAAAATACTTTTCACGACCCGATTAAGAAGAAATTAGTTACTTAAAAGGCACTAAGTCTACAGATAAATTTTTTTAAATAAGCAGGCAACTGGCAATATAAAAGTGTAAATAGACCACAACATGTCTATTTCAACAAGTTGAGGGGCCATCTCAAACTTTCAGTTTCAGATTTCATGTGATTAAATAGGGTTGTCAAGGAAATCAACAGGTTTTTACGTAGCTGTTGTCAACCTCGCAATACACAGTTTCAATTTTGTATAACGTAATCTTCCACACTTGACTAGGATTCGCTGTCATTTCTGCCAAAAGAGCTGTAAATGACTTTAGAAAGTTTGAGATATCCTATAAACATGCACGTTTGGATGTCGAACTCTGCCACGGTTGAAATAGGCATGTAATAGTCCATTTCCACTTCCTCATTGTCAGCTGATCTGTAAAAGCGACTTTCGTTAACTAATTTCTTATTACTAGGAAAGTATTTTATGCAATATAGGTGGGCGGGATACCTCAATGGTTACAGCGTTAGGCTACGAACCCGAAGGTCGTGGGTTCTAATCCCGCCCGGGAGCTCGGCAACTTTTCTGCGATGGAGAACAGTTTCACAAGCAGTAAGGTTAGGGGCCATTGCTGTAGTGCTCTGCATTGTAGTATTGCCCTTGGTTCGTCAATACCAGCCGACGCTCGGAGGTTTCACTGCATCACATATTAACATTGATGATGCAGACTTTCCCCCTGCCGTAAACTGACATCGCCGCGATATAATTAAAAAAAACAGTTGAAAGTGGTGTTAAACCCCAATTCACCCTCACTAACTCATTATGCAATATAAAGGCAAAACGTTTGTGCTTTCACGTCTTTATAACAACAAATCGAGAAATTCATTCATTGACATATTTTAATTTGTACTTTCGTACACATTAACCTGCAGATGTTTGCATCGATCGTGTTTTATGATTAAATAACGTTGTTTGTTTATTATACAAATATAGGGTACTATACCAATCATTCCGGAGTGGATGAACAGTTAATTGCAAATCGGACCGGCCACAGAAGTAATGCTATCCGGGCTTACAAGAGAACCAGTGAGACTCAACAAGAAAATGTCAGTCACATTGTCCAGGGGTATTCTGGGAAAAAACGACGAGTCTCGGCCACTTCACAATCAAGAGAGAGTGTATCAACAGATACTGGTGCTTCCGGGTCGGTAAAACTCCAGTTGAAGATAAATATCAACTGACTGTAAACGAGATCAATCAGGCAGTAAAGTTCCTGGCATTAAATATAAACAGAATTGTTGTGTATTTTTTTCAAACGTCGTTTCTGGTTACGATGTTGCAAACATGACCAGAAGTAGACGTCGTTGCAATCGGCAATTATTGTTGGATTTGTACTGGTCTGAAAGTAGTTCCTGGTGTTGTCGAACTGAAATTGGTGTTGGTTAGAACACGGTATTCAACAAAGCAACTATACTCTGATGATTTCCCTATGCGACAAAGATTTTTATTGTAAGCTTGTCAGAAAACTGTGAGCAAATAAAATCATCTCTGATATATGAACGAGAAACATATGCAGGTAATTAATTTATACATGTCGACATTGGTCGAACCCAAACCGAAACCTGAGTCTCATTAACCTATTCAGACAATTACCTACTTTTCAGCCGATCCGAATTTTCTCGTGTGAAAGTGAAAATAGACATCACAAACAACTATGGTTACACTGAATTCCAATTCTTTGTTTCATAAGAAAATGGTATTTACAAATGTAATTTAATTTAGAATTTTAATAACACCAGACCGCCAAACCTTTCTAGTGAATTTCCAGATTTCCGTTTCTCAGAGCACGCTGTACGACAGAGCCCGCTGCACGACGTGTTTGCAACAACTAGAAGGAGCGTAGTGTTGAAATATACAAGTGACTAGATGTATCAAATAATACTGATTAATATCTATATATCCAGTTGAACGAGTTGGTCTCAAAATTCTGCTGGACTGGTTATTGTACTAAGCTGCGCAATATGACGGAACCCATTCAGCAGGCTGAACGAGGCTGATGTGTAATCAATGTTTTGACTTGAGTGTCGGTCGGGAGATGAGAAACTGACACAGAAAATAACAATGCTGACCTATTTGAAGGAAGCAGAAATATGTTACAACCATGTTCAATGCCTGTATGAACGAACGTTGTCCGCATGTATTTTCAGTTATTTTCGTCAGATGATCGTTGCATGTACGCTGTGTTCCATAGCTAGCCTTTCTTCAAACGTTTGCAAATGGAATGACCAAAGTCTCGTGAATAACAGAACAGTGAAAAAGAAAGCTTGCTTTATTTGAAAACTGAAACTGGCTGCCTGACGATATCGTTACATTCGCGCTGCATCTTAGCTGATATAATATGTACATCAATATACGTGTTTACAACTGGTGGTGATATCCACATGGAGCCGTAAATATAAGACAACAGTCAATCTGAAATTGTCAGGGCAAGGTCGTAGTGAGGTGGAGTTTATCATCCTCAGTACGAAGGGGTGGGAGATACTAAGATCTCCTCACACTGTATAATGTAATAGATTACATTGAGCAAGAGTCATGTTAGTAGTGTAAATTTTAAGAATGTATTACTGAAAATCATGAGGTGCCCCTACCATCCATTTCATTTCGAAGTTGTTCTTTGTTGACCAATCCATTTTCTGGAGCAACTAAGACTCTATCTTTTCATAGCTACAAGATGAACGTAGGGGTTTTCCTCTGAGATGTCCTCAACGTTGTTGTCATCGACGACAGTGCACTCTTCATCGTCTTCCTCACAACGATCGAACGGTTCATAGTCCCTGGTCTGAGTCGGATCATGTACAGAGCTACATGGGAGCATGTCAAGAGGCAGGCCTGTATGTGACGTGTCATGAGGGAGAGTTTCGGAGTCTCGCGTGTTGTCATCCCGAGCCTCGCTGGCACCCTGTAGTCTTCCACTGTCAAAGGTCACAGCTCCAGTACCTACGTTGATGTGTGACACGCCATCACAGTGTGCGTTAGGTGGTGCCTCGTCACCGTGACGCGCGTTGTCATTCAAGGACACGCTGAGACCCTGACGTCGCACTGACTGAAGGGTCATAGCTTCAGTACCTACGTCAATGTGTGCTGCGTCATCACAGTGTGTGTCAGGTGGTGCCTCGTCACCATGACGACGCACTAGCTGAACTATCACAACTCCAGTATCAACTTGGATATGTGACGAGTCATCACAGTGTGAGTCGACTGATCCTTCATCTACGTCATGGATGGGGGTACAAGTGCTGCCGTCAGAAGATACACTTGCATCGTGAAGATGTCCTGTGTTTGTACCGGGTCTGTTTAGGATCCTGTTGCATGGCACAACCGTCACAAGAGTCCTGAGTCGACTTTCTCGCTTGCCTCTTGAAATACAAAATTATATCAATTGTTCACGTCAAATGCTCACACAATAAATATTTGTGCATTGCAGAGAGATTTTGTTTGTCACATGTGTCGAATCTAACGTTCAGTGTCACTGGTGTCTATAACATGTATATATTGAGCCTTCACCTATAGTGGCACTCTTCATGTATCGATATGTATAAGTATAAAACAAAGTTATCAAGTTTATGTAATTTCAAAGGTTCACATTCATGTGTCTCCCATTATGGATACATTTTCTCCAACAAAACAACCCCAGTTCAAACTGGGTCGGCTCATAAATATGTCTTGATGGACAGTATAAAGTCCGATTGCAGTCAATAGGGCTAATTTGAAAGCTACGTTCGTCAAAACTTGCTGTCGTCCTTGACACCTGTCTTCATAATATGAAGCATGTTATCAATCAGTATGCCAGGTACCACTTACGATCGTCTCCTCCAGGTGCAGAAAGCCACCAGAAGCAGCACGGTCATCAGGACAAGTCCTACAGGAGGTAGAATGATCGACACATATTGGTTTGTGTCCCAGCTGTCATGTGGACTCTGAAACACACCCATATTGACATGTAGTGATCTGAATTGATCTTGTCTACCACACATACTGCAGAATAAGATTGAATTGTACTCATTGGTAGTTCCAAATGATACCTTAAGCTACATCAGAAGTTAAACGAGGATTCAGGAAAGGAAATAGTTCCATGGACCCTTTACTAGATCACTGGATTGTCTGATCTGGACTCGTCATTTGCAGACCGGCGTCATTTACGTGGAATATTGCTGAATGAACACAAATATGTAACATCTCTAGTAATTTGTTTTACATCAGGTACTAAAGCAAATAATGGCATACATTGTAGCATAAGCAGTTATACGACATGGGTAACCATCACTGTGGGCATCACCTTGGCTTTCACCTCCTCTTCTTCTCGGGGAGGGAACAACGGAAGAGGCAAATATTCATCAATGACTTCGTCAGGGTTGGATTCGAAAATTCTATCAAATGAAGAACTCTCCAGAAATGAGCCGTTTTCCACAGCAGAGTAGAGATGTACGTGCGTTGTGGTGTAACTGAAAGGCACATAACACACAGGGGTTCGAATACATTTATATGTCATCTGAAGAATTAAATATTGTTTAAACCAAAATTGCTAAAATATAGATGCGAGCTATAATTAATCAGTGTGGTCGTTCAGATCCATGTGTCGAAGCGTTAGCGTAGCAGACCCCGGGAACCAGGCTGAGTAGCTAGTCACTAAAAATCTACGGAAACTGTCGATGTTTACCGAAGAGAGGCCAGACGTTTGTTCAAAGATTGAGGATGTGTGTTTAAAAATGAAAATCAGGTAGACAAATTGAATACAATGGGCAGAAAAGTAAAAGAATAACCTACAAGTTCAATACAATGTTTTGTGAAAAACGTAAGGTTTGATTGAACCGCACGTTAATATAGTCGGGCTGTCTGATTTTCGATCAGGTTTTCAGCATCGCGAGTGTCACCCCTTGTGTATTTTATGTAACGAGTGTAGCAGTAGAATTTTCTAAATAATTCATTTCTTCACTGATTTCGTTCAAATTTGGAATATATGTTAATTATAACATAGGAAAAAATATACGATTGCAAAAATTTAGATTTTTATTTTTAAATTATCGTCCAAACAGAGATTCGAACCCCTTGTGCACATAACATACAAACTCAGTAATGAATTATACCTAAACTGCACGACTGGACATTTAAATACTAGTATCAACGTCATTGTATAGTCATATGTTCTTGTGCTGGTCAACATCATTCTGCTTGTCACTTACTTGCTTGCTTTCTTTGTATTTGTTCTAAAGTTGACATCCACTTTTCCATGAATTCCCCCGAGTTCGATGATGAGTCTCTTCAAGCCGTCAGCCAGCTCACCTCTATTTGTATGATCAATCTCACCCAGGAGTGTGATGTTGAAAATGTCTGAATACAAAGAAGATTTCTTAGAATGCATTTATAACAAATCACAAATCGACAACAAAAAGCACGGATGAACTGAAACTTCACAATGTACTTACTGGTCAATTTGTCAAATGAACTGAGTTCCAATTGATTATCTACAGCTTTTATGTCAAACAAAAAGCACACGACATACATCTGACTCCATTCCCTGACAGGATATCACAAGCCATCAGTTTTCTCCAGAATGAAAAGCAAACACGTCACCTTTGGGTTGTTTTAAGACAAAACAGCAGTTTGTCTTCATTTATTGCATATTGTCACCTAAATTCCTGTGACATTATGTGTCAAAGTGGTTGAGGCTTTCGTATAATATCTGTTTTGCTCGTGACATCGACATATAGTAATCTCCCTTGGATGTTTGTTATATGTGGTGAAACACCATCCCAGCGGCTGACGTCTATGTTGAAATACCTGTGTGGTGATCCCCTCTCTAGGAAACATGTAGGTCCCCTCACTCAAGACGTACCAGTTTGCACAATGCTGAACATTCGCGATTGCAGTAACTTCTTAATTATGGCCTGATGTATTCAATTTGATGCAACCAGGTATTTTTCACCACTTTTGTTTTATTGTATGAACGTAAACGTCATCGTATGTTGTTCAGTGTAATTTGCTTACTGTTCAATGATCTTATGTCGTTACTTACTGATTTCACAATTTAGTAGTATACTTACATGTACTAAGGTTAAGACACTATGATACACCAGGATGCATAAAACATACATGAATTTAAGCTGAGTGTATATTAGACACTATTTCACTCACCAACACTTTGGCTGCATCTTTCTCCTACCCACGCAAAGTCACAGTCACACTTGAACCGAGTTGCTGTCAAGAGATCCGGTGTACACTGGCCCATGTTACAAGGGGAACTGTCACAGAAATTAACCTTATCTGCGCATGTGTCTCCAGTCCACTCAACTAGACATGCGCACTTAAAGTCCAATTCGTTTCCGTCACATGTCCCTCCGTTCAGACATGGCTCCAGTGCACATTGGTTGATGTTTTCACATAGTTTTCCTAAACAAATTTTAGAACTTAAGTAGCAAAACAAAACCCCATCAATGAAAAGATATTTTGACACGACTTGTAAGCAATTTACAGATCTCTTGCCATCGGGTACTGTTGGATTTAACTCTTTTCACCTTTTACCTCCACTATCAAGGTGGAGTTACAACAATGTTTCAAGCAGGTACACAATGTAATAGCGGAATTGCGGTGCTAAATATCTTCGACTGATCTCACATAGTTAAATATCATTTGGGGGTGGGTGTGCTGTGGGAGCATGCACGCTTTTATGGGTGCATATAAGTGCATTTGAGTGTAAAAATGTAGGTACATATACATTACCAAATAGGGGCGCACTTAAAACAACTGAATATACATGGAAATAATTCGGCGGAACACAGTCTGTTCTTATGAGTCAATTAATATTGTACTTTTCGTAACATTTTGTTTTGGATCGAATTATTGTATGGTAGCCATAATAGTGCAAACTATATTCCACGAGGACTGATCCACGAGGACAGATACAGTCTACTTACCTTTGATCCCCTCCGCACAAGCGCACTCGAAACTTCCGTTTGTATTTGTACAAGTGCCTCCGTGTTGACACATTTGGTCAGTTTCTGTGCATTCATCGATGTCCTTGTTGCAGTTGTCTCCCTTCCAACCTGCAATTTTATATTTGAAATTACTTGAAATTATGCAGTAAATAGCACAATGTTTCAGAAAAAGTGAAACACTGAAATCCTATTAATCCACACCGACAGTTCCGATATCCCTCTGGATGAGCACTGTCAGATGAATGTCTACATATGTAAATGGATCACCAGTGATTCGAGCATCCATTTCTAATGACATAAACTTTGTTCAATTAAAAGTAACGTGTCAATTGGTCTTTCTCAAGCTTGTTAAGGTGTAAAAAATAGTTCACAACAACGCTCACACCAGCTTTCCGAGCATACCTTCAAAGCACATTTTAGCTCCTGTGTGTGTGTGGCAGGTGTAGTGACTGTGGTCAGGAGTGGCCTTGCACTGTCTCTCACACGTAGATCCGTACCAGTCCGGGTCACAGTAGGCACGGACAGCAATCTTTAACCTGGAAAATAATTCACTCTGCATTTTTTACTTTTGAGGAGAAATATATGATCAGGTGGTTAGGCTTCCTGCTTGCTTGACACATGTCACCGTATCCCATTTGCTCAGATCGATCCCCATGCTGTTGATCACTGATTCAGTGGATTGTCTTGAAGCTTTACAGACTACCGCCACATAGCTGGAATATTGTTGAGTGCAGCGTTAAAAGATAAACAAACACACACTATGACAGTCAATCCTTAACGTTGAAAATAATTTACTCTACATTTTTCACTTAAGATGCGACTAACGGGACCGAATGGAGAGACTCCAGATTCGATTATTTACAGACTACCGCCACATAGCTGGAATATTGCTGAGTGCGGCGTTAAACGACAAACTAACAAAACAAAAACAGTTTTCACTTTGAGTGCCTTGCGCACCCTGATCAAGCAATTATTACATGTAAACCTTGAATGCTGGTCAAGAGCTTACATTGGCATTATGTTGGTGCGAGACCGATGATCATTCACATCATAATGTTTTGAAGTAAACTCATTATTTTGAAGTATTTATGAACAAAGAACATGAAAGAATATCCCATCTTGTTTTGTTCCAGCCCTCCAACCCAACTCTCTGGAATCATCACAGATATGTTTTAATCTGACTCACGTCGTCCTTCCCCACAATGTGTATGAGTTGTACATAGCTGTCTGTTCTATAGCAGCGGCTCGGATGTTGATCAGCTTGGACAGGGTGTCCATGTGGTCATCACTGGAAGTGTCATCTTTGTCATACACCATCACCGTTATTTTTATCGAGGACTGAATAAAAGACAATGCATACCATCTGTTTAGTATAAGTTGGTAAGGTATAGCTGAATCAATGAAAAGACACACCTATCGATTTACCTTCTACTTGTCTGTTATCAAACATCGAAATTATTACTTGTAAATAATCGAGCCTGGACTAGACAAATCAGACGTTCATGCCCAGAGTCGCCATCAGGATGCAATGACCTGTTGTCATGGCGAACCTTAGCTGAGTGGAATGATTTGACGAGAACTGTGTTGGCTGGTTCCATGATCAACAATAACGGGACGGTTCAGGTTTCATGTCAATGGTTTTGGTTACTTATGACATGTACCAATCAGTGTGAAATATAGATTGAGATAATAATCCCACCGGTACTGCATTGTCCACTGGTATGACGAAAGGATTTGCAGTTCCTTGAATGCTGCTTCCAAAGTGGATTATGTTTTGGTTGTCTACATATTTTGTAGTCCTATTGTAAACAGAGCACGGCTGTCTTCCTTCAGGGCTGGAATAATATGAGCAAATCGTATTACACCATCAATTCTACAGGCAACAAAGCGCTACAATATTTATCCCTGCATATGTAGCCAGTATGACTTAAAACCAATGATGTATTGAAGGCAGAAATTCATTATTTTGATAAATAGCTTCAAATTTCTACACCAAATGGCACACTAAAGGTCGCAAAGAAAGAAATATGTGACATACACAATGCAGGCGATTGTAAAGTCATTAATAACGTTGGCATACTTATGTTACTAATACGGGATTACACTCCAAAACATAAATGGCGATACACACATACTTTCACATAAGGATGAAGAGAACAACATTAAATTAACCTCTATATATTACAAGCAGCAGGGGCCCAAATCATTTATTTAACGAGATACACCAGCCTACAAATACAAAACTGTCAGGAACTGAACAATAAACGTTTTAATTGTACCTACCCATCAATGCACAGGGTAAACATTGGATCGCACTTATCAACGTAATCCAATCGAAGATTTCTGTCACAACGGTACCCACGGGATACCTTTCCATCCGACGAGTAACTGATGAATCGAATGTCCAGTTTACCGTCAGTCTTCACATGCTGTAAATCATGAAGATAGATGTGAACAAACAGTAATTGAGAGCCGTTTCTCGCTACACTCACCAATGGTCCGTCTATATT